TGCTGTCGCCAGCACTGACATTGTTAACCTTAAGGACCTTAGGTTAACCTTATGGACCTCATCTTATTTATATGCCTCAAAAGCATCATCGGCAGCAAGGGGGATATCAGATATAGCTATTGTACTCTTTGGGACAAATTCATCCTAGGTAGCAATACTTTTATCACAGGCAACTTTCTCAGAGGCAACATTTTGACAATCAGTAATAGGGACAGGGGCATTTTCACAATCAATAGCAGGGCCATCTTTTACAGAATTGTTCATAATCAGAACATTTCATTATCAGTAAAAGGGACAGAAGCATCACAAATAACAAGAGCATTGCAGGCAACTTTGTATTGCAGAAATTATCATAGTCAGTCTCAGGTGGAGTCCCCTTAATGAGTGAATTAGAAATGGCTAAGATATGGTTGACAGTTGGGGCTGCATATTTTTCCTTTACACACTCAGTGTGTGTATTTTTGCAGCAGTAACCTCAGCATCCAAAGAGGGTTGGAGCATCATCGGTTTTGGGTCAAAATTGATAAAACCCTATGGCCTCGAAGTCCTTACGAATAGTGGCCAGAGGGAGGCGGGCGTTAGGGTAGGTCCCAATTAACCAAAGAGTAACAGAAATTAGAGGATAGGACCTGGATTTCATCTTGCGAGAAGGAAACCCTAGAAAGCCTTTGAAACTTTGGAACACTTTTCTCGTAGTATGGGTCGCCTATGTTCGAGAAAGGTAGAGCATCTGACCACGAAGAAACCCATCTGCACGCAGGCGTCAGGTGAATCAAGAGAGAAGGTAGAGCGTCTGACCATGAAAGACGAAGCAACGGAAGAGCGATTCTGAATTTCTGAGAAATGAATGGGGATAACATCCCTCACCCTTTTCTATATACAGGGGTTGGTTCAAATAAAAAGAAGTCTTAACGTGCAAAGTGCAAAATTTGCACTTTTTCATTTTTTGCTTGCACTTTTTCTTGCTTTCGTGCACTTTTTCGCGGTAGCTCAAAAAAATTGGTTTATTTACAAAACTGCCACCGTCATTTTGTCCGAATTTGGCCAAAATCAAAATGGCCAAAAAGTGCAACGCAAACAACGTAACAAAAAATGCAAACGAAATATGAAAAAGTGAAAAAATTTCACTTTGCACGGGAAGACCACTTTTCATTTGAACTCTTCCCTATATATATATATATATATATATATATATATATATATATATATATATATATATATATATATATATATATATATATATATATATATATATATATATATATATAAGGATCAAATGAGAAGAGTGCTTATCGTAAGAAGTGAGAATGCATCTGATGCGTTCATTTTAAGATCTGTGCATCAGATTAGCAAAAAAGTGCACGGGAAAGTGCAAAAAATATTTAAAAAGTGATGCTAGATGCGGTGGCATTTCCGTAATTAATCGGAACTTTTCAGACATCGCAAAAAGTGCATCAGATTAGCCAAAAAGTGCATCAGGAATAGGTAAATGTGTAACTTCTCACTTCTCACGTTAAGATGTCTTCCCATTAGAACTCGACCCTATATATATAGAATAAGGATCAAATGAGAAGAGTGCTTATCGTAAGAAGTGAGAATGCATCTGGTGCGTTCATTTTAAGATCTGTGCATCAGATTAGCAAAAAAGTGCACGAGAAAGTGCAAAAAATATTAAAAAAAGTGATGCTAGACGCGGTGGCATATCCGTAATTAATCGGAACTTTTCTGCCATGGCAAAAAGTGTATCAGATTAGCGAAAAGTGCATTAGAAAGAAGCAAATGTGAAGCTTCTCACTTCTCACGTCAAAATGTCTTTTTATTAGAACTCAACCCTATATATATATATATATATATATATATATATATATATATATATATATATATATATAGGGGAGGGTTCTAGTGAGAACCCCTCTTAAAATGAGAACCAGTTTAAAATGAGATCTTTTAATGTCCATCATTCATTCATAGAAATCAATGACAAGGTGGCATTTTTGTAATCATTTGGCATTAATTGCAAAAAGGCTCCATTTGAATTTGGGGTAATTATGAATATGACCACATGTGAATCATCACCAATGATTGCAATAAATGAAAGGATGAGATTAAAAATTCTCATTATAAGTTCTCATTTTATGAAGGGTTCTCACTAGAACCCTCCCCCATATATATATATATATATATATATATATATATATATATATATTCATTCTATCAATATTGAATTTTTAAATATTTCATATATTACATTTAACGCTATCTCCCACAATTCTCTGGTTTCCAAGTTGTCAACAACTTCAATCGTTTCCCACATTCACAATACTCGATTGGAATCCACTCTCCATATTCATATTGACCCATAGAATTTGAACTACTCGGTTTGGAGCTAGACATGTTGACTTCTTTTGGTGGGTTTGGGGTGATAGTGATGAGAAGTTGTGGCGAGGGAGAGTCTTCGTTTATAATTTTTAGGGTTGCCCGAAAACTTCTTTTTAACATTGGAGTTAGGCAGGAAATCTATAAATGCTATTAAATGACGCCACTAACCTTCATTTAATGGTTTCCGGTTAAAATTGTCAGAGTTGTGGTCGGAAGGACGACGGGTGGTGAGTGGGAAAAAGTCAAGGGAGAAATGTGGAAGTGACATAATAGTCATGAGACCAAAAGTGAAATTCTTTTCACAAAAAAATCGAGCATGACAACCATTGTCGATCACCAACAACAAATTATCAACACTCGATCGGTTTAATCGACGAGGAGTACACACATTCTAAATATCGTTAAGAATGAACCATATAATATATACGGAGTAACTTTTAAATACCCGCCAAGGGATTTTTTTTATCTTCAGAAAGAAAAAAATGGGGGTTTCTTTAAATTTGACTTAATTGAAGCCTATTTCCAAAACATGATAACTTGTACATATAAACAGAAATGATATGAGCAAGGTAATATACTTGAAAAAAAACATAATGTCTCTCATACTACGTATGTCAACGCCAAATTCTAAGAGTTTGATTTTGTTCACTCATTGAAAGAGTGATGGTCACCCCCTCTCACTTCCCTACTTGTCATGCAACGGTCCATTTTCTTTATTTTTTGAAATTGTTAAAAATTTTATATTTGTGATCCAATTTTAAATATATATATATATATATATATATATATATATATATATATATATATATATCCTTTCAATATATATATATATATATAATTAAATATTTTTATTAATTTTTCTAATGGTACCAATATGAGAAAATTTTGATTAATTAAACGAAAGTTTATTCAAATTTGGGGAAATGAATCACTCTTTTATTTTAAAAAGTTAGATGTAATATTTGTGTCATTTTTCCTAATACGCATACTATTATACGGAGTATTACAAGTTTGAGTTCGGAGAAATGTATGAATGCGCAACTGGACATCATCCAATATTATCACAATATACTAGTAGTAATGTAACACCCCCTACCCGGCCCGGAAGGCTAGGGCAGGGAGCGCTACCCGCAGTGCCGGAGCACCAAAGCGTTGACTGACTTTTCCATTATCTTTTTCATTAATCCAAAAATATTTTTATTTTAAAATTGAGCTAATGATAGTCACTTTATGAAATAGTAATTTTATAAAAGTTCATAATTGCAGAAGCATTCATATTTTGTACATAACACTTAAAGGTTTAGTGTTGCTGTTACATCATACTCGCATGTTGACTACATATTAATTACGAAAACTAAAATGAAATATTACTAAATGCAAGTGTGACTCTGTGCTGATTGGCAGGTTGCTCCCAAATGCTTTCCTCCTTGAATTTTTGACTCGTATCGATTAGGTACCTACGCGAAGGACAAAAAACCAACGCGCTAAGCAAATCTTGCTTAGTGGTGTTCATTCTTTCTCGATACACTTTCAGTATCAAATATCATATAGTAAATCAACAATAAAAAATGACATCACAAATATACTAAATTGAAAATATAAACTTAACCAGATTTGATTTTACCCATTTGACTAATAAATCTCAAAAGAATCCATTTTGTTCCAAATAGCTATTCAGTAATACAAAAAGGCTATGTCAACTCTGAAATTTGAAAATTATGTATCACTTATAAATCACAGCAAATTTCTCTATATCTTATGATCAAATATTCAAGATACAATCCTTATTTAGTTATATCAAGAATAGTAAAGATTGATCATACTGATTATTTCAAAACATATAATACTATTCCATTCGATGTAACTAATTCAATATATAGTTCATTCCTGTTTGACATAGTTATTTAATTTATTTTAAAACGCATAATATCATGATTATAACTTTGCTCTTTATTTGAGCTATTAATACCTCGTAATTTTCAAAGTACGTATTAGTTTAAAAGCGTAAAATAATGACTTTATTCGACATAAGTTTATCTCGGTGTCTCTCATATTTAACACTAACTTAATCTAGAATAAACTTTTGATTAGGACAATCTAATCCATTAATTGAATATAAAGTCACATTCTCTTATCGTCTTCATTTTTATATTCATATCTCTTATCTCATTCCCTCAATTTGTGTTTTCACATTTTCTGTCCATACTTTCTCTCTCCTTTTTCACAACTTCATATCACAATCAAAGCTCACATGAGCAATATCATAGCTCGCTGTTATTCAATAGTCCACTCGGCATTCTTCTTGTCTCACTTAAATTTTTATTTGCTCAATTTTCATCTTTTGCTCATTTTCATTCTCCGTCATATTTGCCAGTTTTCACACTACAAGAAAAAATATTATTTGCGTCCAAGTTTTTTGTGTCAACTACAGTGGACGCAAATAACTACGCTTTTGCGTCGACAAGTGGACGCAAATGATATTAATTAAAATCCCGTTCAGGCCTTGTACAATTTCATTATTTGCGTCGCCTTGTCGACGCTAAAAGATCTTAATTATATTTGTGTCAACGGGTGTCGACGCAAAAAATGAAATGTAAAAATGTAAAAGCCCAAGCCCAACACACAAACACACTTACCCTATAGCTAAGCGTCCATTGCCGATTAAGGCCGCGACGAGGATGAAGGAGGCCAAGACGGCGATTGCTGCGAAGACGGCGAAGTGAACTGCGTCCTGCGAGGAAGACGTGAACCGCGCCGCCTACGTCGTCCGCCAGACCGCCACTCCACCCACCGGTGACCTGCCGACCTGCGTCCGCCCCTGCCAGTCTGCGGCTCTGCGCTTCCCTCCAGCCTCCAGCCTCCAGCCGCTCCAGGTAAACTCCAATTAGACCAATTACTCTGGCGGCATCACCCCCTGAAATTAAAAATTGAAAAGATCCACCCCTGAAATTAAAAATTGAAAAGAATTTGCAGCTTCTTCCATAGTAGCTTAGTAGTTCACTGTAAATCAGTTCCCGGACGCCCAGAAGCAAGTAGTTGACCAATAAGATTTGTTACCTAAAAAACAATGGACGAATAAAAATAATGTAAACTGGTTTTGTGAATTTGCAAAGAAAATTTGCAGCTTCTTCCATATTAACTTGTAAAGAAAATTTCCTAACAGATTATAAAGAATAAAAATAATGGAAAACTAAAAATGAATAGAAACATGGTTTTGTGAACTGATAAATAACAATGTAAAATTTGGCTTAATTTTGTGAGAAACCGAACAAAATGATCATCTTCATATCACGCATACTCCCGGGTGATGCTGCCAGAGTAATTGTGTTTACTTGTTTGATCTTCATATCATCTTCGTTTCTGATCTGTCCTGCATATTAAACGTGGCCTGGTAGTGTAAATTGTGTTTGTCCTGCATATTGTTTCTGATCACTTCTTCTGCGTGTCCTGCATATCGTTTCCTGCAGACCTATAAATGTACGAAGTGATGAGCAATGGCAGAAGTGTTGTGAGAGACTCAATTCTACGAAGTTCAAGGTTTAGTATGAGTATATTTCCTTTTTATTATACAATTAAAGTTCTAATTTATGACTTAGTTTCATACTTACAGGAAATTTCTTCAAAAAACCTACAAAATATAGAAGCAAGTGATGATAAAAGTGGGCATGGGAGAAAATCATATGCCCAATACATGCACGAAAAAGTAAGAAATGAGTCTTTGTTATTTCATTTTGAGTTGCGATACGTGGCAGTGATTGGGTGATTACATATATTTGTTATTGGTGTTTGATGACATATGAATGTATGTTGTAATTTCCTTGGCAGTTTTTATGTTATATTGTAGTTTAATTGGGTGTCGTTTTTTAGGTATGGTGGAGTTTTTTTGTATGATTTATTGTGTTTTTTTGTGGTAAAATTTTGTTTCGGGGTGTCCCTAAGGCCTTGGTTAATATATAGTTTACCTCTCATATATATTTTAATAAGCAGTATGTATATCACTTAATCGTATATTTCTGCTTTAGTTTTGCAGGTTTTTCAAAGATTATATTTAGTAGTACAATCCTTATTGTTGTGGTAGCGATTACTGATCGATCAATGTTAAAATTTCAAGCTACTAATTTAATGTTAATGTTAGTTATTGATCATTCATGTTATTTTAGATGTTGACAATTATAATGAATATTAAACAGGATGATCCAGAAACTGGTGAGCAGTACTCAGCTTTTGAAAATTGGAAAGATCAATGTTTGACTCGAAGTGGCGAATGGAGAACAAAAGAAGCACATGAAAAATATGTAAGTATATTAAAAATATTTTATTAATTGTAATCATAATGATATGTAACTATATGAATTGTAATTTGATAGACTCAAATGAGCGAAGAGTGCCAAACACAGCTAGGACAAACAGGGTCATCATCTTCAATAAATGAGATTGATATTATGCACCGGAACTTGAGAAGATATCGCGGACGCCAAAGCGGAGTGGGTCCTACCCTATCAAAGGGTGCATCTCGACGAGTGGAAGATGGCGCTACTTCAACATTCCAAGAACACCGGGATGTTCAAATAAGTGAATTGAAGGCAAATCAAGAGTTGATGCAAGCAAATCAGGAGTTGATGCTTCGTGCCCTACAACAATTTATTCCTGGCTTTCAACTTCCTTCACGCAGCTCCGCAAATGATGTTCCTTCGACATCAAGTGCTAACCAACCTGATCAGAGTCTCGATGAAGATGATCATGATTGATAATATCGAGTTGAATATGCTTTTTACTTGGTTAAGATGAACATGAATTTATTTATGTAAACATTTTGTGATGTTTGTAATGATTATATGAAACTTCGTTGTAGGATAACTCACTTTTACTATGAATATTGAATGAAGTTATGTGTTGTTGACATTGGTTGTGTTTGGATAGATTTTGGTAACATTGGTTTATTAATAAAAGTTCTCTATGAATAGCAATAGGTAATGTGGTGTAATTTCAGACCTGTACAGTGTTATTTGCGTCACAATGTCGACGCAAATAATGTATTTTTAAAAAATGACTGATAGGCTTTGGCGTCAACATGTGGACGCAAATAATGGCATTATTTGCGTCAACGTGTTGACGCAAATAAATATTCACCTTTTGCGTCGACATTATGCATGATTACTTCCGGAAGATCTTTTCCGTCCATATGTCGACGCAAATAAGATTTTATTAATTGTGTCAGACAATGTCGACGCAAAAACATTATTTGCGTCGAGACTTTTGCGTCAACCCTTTTGCGTCGACATGTGGACGCAAAAAGCGCATTTACGACGACTTATGCTCTTTTGCGTCAACAATTTGTCGACGCAAAAAACGTTTTTTCTTGTAGTGTCACACTTTTATTCTTTTATCAAATTTCTGGAATTCTACTCCTTAGTTTAATGGACTGGATAAACGGAACGTTCTCATCTTTGGTACTGTCCACTCGGTGGCTACGGACCATCAGAGAACTATTTTGGCACGGACCACTCGGTGGCTCTGGCCGGGTTGGGTTCGTTTGGGTACTGTCCACTCGGTGGCTACGGACCCCTAAACGAACATATTTGGGTACTGTCCACTCGGTGGCTACGGACCCGTATAGGAGCGCGCGTGTATCAAATATCAAGATTTGGGTGTTGTCCACTCGGTGGCTACGGACCCGAAATCATTGATCAATTCTACGACCGTGTTAATTATCCCTATTGACATGCCAACCTATCCAAATCCAGAAACAAGGCTTCAAATTCCATTTTCTTTTTATTACTTTCCATTTAAAATAACTTCATTATAATCAACTAAAATATCAGCTATGTATAAATTTCTAATATAGATTTCAATCTGTATATATATATAATATTATAATACGTGTCATTTTTTTTGTTGAATTAACTTTATTATAAATCTCATCTCAATTATCTTAAGATTAAAAAAAACCAAATTAACTATTTGTACGTGTATTGGAATTAACTTTTTTTTTTTATTTTCTATAATAATTTTGATATAAGGTTTGAATTATAGAGTATTACTCCGTATTAATCTTCCAGATCTACTTAAGATTAAGAGTATGTCACTATAAAAAAATCTTCCGTATCATATCAATCTTAGAGTTTCACTATTTTATTTTAATGATTAAACATGCCCATCATTTTAACCGTATAATTTCAATTTTCTTTGTTTAATATATTAATTACGAGTATTATCATTATCAAAATTTTTCTATATATGTTGATTTCCAAAACTTCCTCGTTATGCATGAAAGAGTTCATGTTTCTCCTTTGTGCATGTAGTACTTTTGAAAATCAACTTCGTATTTTATTTTTTTATTTAACAGTTAACTTCAAACTTAGTATATCTAGCTATATTCACTAATTGTCTTGTTACACATGGTCTATTTTTAATTTACATACGTGGGCTTGATTAAAATGTGAAATGCGGAGTAGTAAAATGAGACATGCATGCCTTAATATTTCAGAGGACATTTCGTTAAAAGCGTTTACTAAAAGAGTTCATGCTTGCTTCGTAATAGACATATTTCTTAATTAATTATATTTACATGACTGGTACGTATACCTACATGTAACTAAGTAAAACATAATGCTATAAAATTGCATAATAAAACATGAGTATAATCAAATAGTACATAAAGCATATATAACAGTAAAGTTTGATTATAACAATATGATATAATTAACATAGTAATTTCAGAGAAGGGAATGAACACAAACCATAAAATTTAGTCAGATTTTCTCCCTTTTCTCCTTAGCTTAGTTCCCTATTTTCCTACCCTTTCCTTCCTTGCTTTCTCTCTTTTCTTCCTCACGGCTCCCTCCCCCTTTTCTCTCTTTGTTCACATACTATTGATTTGATACTCACTCCTCTTGCAGTTGTTGATATCAATACCGTATATATATAGGCCTAAATACATTACATAGTTTTGTGCATATCTAATATACCTGTTTGTCTGATTAGGCGATGCATGCAAATAAATGTCTAGCCTCTATAAAGTGCATGCTCTCCAAGTGTCTATATACTTGCTACTCCATCTTATTTAATATCTGGCTAACATCAGTTCTGAATAAGTCAATTAGTGTAATTGGAGATTTGTATTCTTTTGGGGTGGTTGGTTTGGTGATTTATGCATGGCTATTGACAAATGTAATATGTGCCGCAGTATGCATGGGTTGATTATTTTTCTTTATTTGTTTATACATGGCAATTTGTTTATATATATTTTGCATGGCCTATGATAAGTGTGAATGGCTCCAGTAGGTGCATGTTAATCACACACATATATTATCACTACATTTTATTGATTTCTTTTAATATTAGTTTAATTTAAGTTCATATAATAATTTTAATTGGCTTCATCACAAACCTTTATGTTAGTACTTTCAATAATCAGGTCATCTGCCAAAATAATAACACCTAAAGTTCGAAACACATTTTTATATAATAGCTATTTATTTTACAATTTTTAAAATGTCAAATTTTAGGATGTTACAAGTAACGTTACAATCGCTTTTGCCAACAAATTTGTCATGTCACCTTTTCCGTCCACCTTGTAGAGAAGTTCCGACTTTGACCGGGAGGAGTAGCAATTATAGTATTAAAGTATAAAAGTATAATTATATTTTGAAATAGTTAGAAATATACATATGTCGACGAAGTATACATTTTTAGAAATATTACTCCCTCCGTCCCAGATTTATTTTCGGTTTTGACTGGCACGGATGTTAAGAAAAGGCACTTTTGTGCTTTGACTTTCCACTTGTGCCCTTGAAATATTTCGGCCAACAAAGGAGGTAACTCTCCAAAATAATAGGGTAATAAACAATACACTAAAAAGGTAATAGGCTTTTTGACTGCAACAAACAGTACATCAAAACAAAAGTAGCGGCCACGAAAAAAAACTAAAGTAGTGGAGGGAATTTTTAATAATTTGTCCACTTCCCTCCCAAAAGAAAAATTACAGATTTCAGTCTATATATACAACCAAATGTTTCTCAAAATAGCTTAAGTACAAAGAAGAAGAGGTATGGTCAAAGACATGGCCGAAATAGTTCCAAAAAAAAAGAGATTGTCCAATGAAGTAAGGCAACGCATCATGCAGTATCTTCTCATCAACTGCACAAATGGTAGGCTCAACCGAGGATGTGTCACAAAGGTGTATCTCATTCATTTGGAAGCAAATAAAGAAATGTGAGATGGAAGGTTTACCTATTAATGTGGACAGACAGATGGCTGGAAAGGTAGGCAGAAAAGCAAAGATTCTACGTATTACTCATGTTAAGGAAATACAGCTTGATAAAAGAAAGAATATCAGGAGTCTAGCTGCAGCAATGGGTTTTTCAAAAACTACAGTGCACAAACTCATACAAAAAGGTGAATTAAAGGCACACACAAATGCTATCAAACCCTTTCTTACTGAGTTAAACATGATTAAGAGACTTGAATGAGTCATTTCACACATTGTCCCAGAATCAATGTCAACACAACCGGTGTTTCAGCCCATGTTTAACTATGTGCATGTAGATGAAAAATGGTTTTATATGACCAAAACCTCAAATAGGTACTACCTCCTTCCAGGGGAAGAGGAACCTCACAAGAGTTGCAAGTCCAAGAGGTTCATCACCAAAGTGATGTTCCTCTGTGCTGTTGCTAGGCCCAGGCTATCAGAAGACTCTCAAGTCTTATTTGATGGGAAAATTGGTATTTTTCCCTTCACATCATTTGAGCCAGCAAAAAGAAACAGCAAAAATAGAATTGCAAGGACAATTGAAGAGAAGGCAATTGACAGTGTCACAAAAGATGTTTACAGACAATGCCTAATCAGTAAAGTTCTGCCTGCCATCAAGGGCAAGTGGCCAATTGATGCATCTGGGGACATATATATACAACAAGATAATGCCAAGCCACATATAAGTCCTAATGACAATGAGTTCATGAAGGAGGCTACTAGTGGGGGATTTAACATCAAACTATCATGCCAACCACCTAATAGTCCTGATGTGAATGTGCTAGACCTAGGCTTTTTTAGAGCAATTCAGTCCTTACAACAAACAACAGCAACTTCAACAGTTTCAGAGTTGGTGGCAGGGGTGAGGAATGCATTTGAGGGCTTCAGCCCTCATACTTTGAACAAGGTATGGGTATCACTACAAATGTGTATGAATGAAATTTTGAAAGCTAAGGGTGGGAACAACTACAAACTACCCCATAATGGTAAAGACAGATTAGAGGGGATGGGGGAACTACCAATTTCAATGAGTGCAGACACAACAACAATGAAAGATGTGATACAATCATTGGAGGGTGTTAATGCTCATGAGTATCTTGTCTTATCTTTTGCATATACAAACAGACTTTCATCATTAAGGCATCACAGAATAGGACTCTCAGACTTTAACACAGCATCACAGAATCCATAGAGGACTACCTTAAGCCTTCCTAGGACTAGCCTGGATGCTTAAGGCAGTTCTCTGTTTGGCATCTACAAATAGGACTCTCAGACTTTAACACAGCATCACAGAATCCATAGAGGGCTACCTTAAGCCTTCCTAGGACTAGTCTGGATGCTTAAGGCAGTTCTCAGTTTGGCATCAACAAATAGGACTCTCAGACTTTAACACAGCATCACAAAATCCATAGAGGATTGCCTTAAGCCTTCCTAAGACTAACCTGGATGCTTAAAGCAGTTCTCACTTTGGCATCAACAAATAGGACTCTCAAACTTTAACACAACATCATAGAATCCATAGAGGACTGCCTTAAGCCTTCCTAGGACTAGCCTGGATGCTTAAGGCAGTTCTCAGTTTGGCATCAACAAATAGGATTCTCAGACTTTAACACAGCATCACAGAATCCATAGAGGACTGCCTTGAGCCTTCCTAGGACTAG